AGACAATGGAATGGAAACACGATTGTGAAGTTCTCTTATTTCACTTGAAGTTTTATTTGTAGCAATAATGTGGCTCAAAAATGGCGATTTTCAGGTTAAAAGAATGCAAAACTAGGTTGAATCCTGCTTTTGTGGTTAGGGGTGTTCATACCTTGACATTGACCCAGATTGGTGTAGTCTGTCTGTGGACCGCCCTCTACCGGTTGTACATGAGCCCACTTGGCATTTCCCCCATCACCCTGGATCATGCCACAGATATTTGGCTCCTCAAAGTGGCAAGAGTCTAGAAAAGTTGAGGCTGTAGCTGAAAGAAATATGAAAAATGTTTAGGACATGGTGAGTGAGAGAAACCAAGTATTAGTTGAGCAAGCAGTCTTTAGCTTATCAGTTAGACTAATGACAACATATTTATAAAAAAAGAATGGAGGATTATTCCATCAAGTTCAACCAGGCTTCCACAGAATCTTACTACAATTGTATAGCCGGTTCAGCTTGAGCAGGTCACTGTCACTAAACTCCATGCATTGACCAATCACATCCAAGAATTCTGGTATCTTGGTAACGATGGTTGGCTCACTGTCTTTGTTGAAGGCTGTTTTACTGTAGTGCATGACTGAACCGTAATCATAGGGCACACCGAGAGAGCTTGACACCGTTTCATCATATAAATTGAAGTTGTGCTCTTTACCTAAGTGAGAAACAAACCGCAAAACAGTTAATGAACAAATGGGTTTGTATTAAATATTAATATATAGATTTGAGGAGTTTGGCAAGACAGAATGATGTTATTATTGATGCATGTATTTAAGAATTCAATAGTTACCGTCTTCAATTCGGTCCCACACAAAGATGACGTAGTCATCTCTGTCAGACATGGACTGCTCGTGCCAGAAACCCAGCGCATGCAGAAACTCATGCTCCACTGTTCCTAAACGTTCACAGTTTGCACCAATTGACAACTCTTGTTTCCCCATCTGTCGATTCCCCACCTTTGAGTAACATCTGATGGAACAGAAAAACATCACCTTTTTATCACCATGAATTTCACCTTTAGCAGAAATAAACACCCTCGGATACGGTCAATGCAATAAAAGTCCCAATGTTTGCACATGCCTGAAAAGGTCTAACATGCTATTATTAAACTAAAACATAATTTAATAAATTAAAATGATTAAAAATTATTTGGTAAGTTTTGTTTGAAAATAAAAAAGTACCAGCACCGTATGTTACAACCATTAACATAAATGTTGTTGTTTTCTTAACCGCTGCCTTTAAATACGAAAATGTAGTTTGGCTCTCCACCCCAGGGTTTGAAGTCAATACAGGTCTGTATTGCTGAGTCTGTATTGCTCAAATGCTTTCAATATCACACCTTTGGCATTGATTTCTATTTAAAGAGAGAGAGAGAGAGATAAGTACAGTGAGTGAGCAATTTGGAGCATATATTAAGTTAGAACTTGAATATCAGATACAGGTCAAGGCATAAATTCAACTGAATTGAATCAATTATTATATATTCAGAGACCAAGGCTGCTGTCTAGGACGTACAGCACAGTTGTTTTATAAATAAATTTTGATATTTGTGATGTTTAGTGCTTGAAAATGTACTGTATTTAATTGTATTTAAACATTAGTTTGACCTCCTGAGGTTAATGTTGCATTTTCTGAAGGTTAAAAATGTCCTAAAAAATATTTTATTACTTTTCAGGCCTGGAGATTCAGGCCCTATTTTGTACCCTATTTGTGGAAAGTGGCATAAAAAATATGCTCAATGAAAACACTAACCTCCTGCATCAGAATGTCTCCTTCCACCAGGTGAAGTCCTGCCTCTGTTGAACAAGACAGTAGTTAATGCAAAAGTGTTATAGAAATTATGTTACAGGTTTAAAGGTGACATATCATGACAATCTGACTTTTCCGGGTTTTAAGTGCTATAATCAGGTCCCCGGTGCATCTTTCCAACCAAGGAAACGTGAAAAAGATTAACCCAGTAACTTTGTTTTGGTAATCAGTGAGTCTGATTTCGCTCCCTTGGTGATGTGGCAAAGGGATCTCATTATAATATTACCGCCCCTTAATCTGTAAATTTACACCCATGGCGCCATCATTTTGATTTTGCAAGCGACAGCGGTGTACCAGCTCTAATGCCATGGCGAAAGTTTGAGCAAAACATGCTAACTGTTCTGCCTTTGGCTGCATAGACGAGCACAGAACACTGTTTAGAGTCCTAGCCTCAGAGACAAGAGAGCAGTGGATTTATTGATTTATTTACTGTATATTGGTGCTGCCATACAGATCTAAAATAAACATGCGATTTATTTCCCAGCAGCTTACCTTCATAGACATAACCGACTGTTTTTGTAACTCGTGTGTTTTTAACGTAAACTTGTGTGAATGAGAACTTAGTTTAGTACTCACATGCTGTGTGGTGGCCGCTTTCTGTCCGTGTGTTTCGGATGTGTGCACTCAGAAAACCATATATAAGAAGTTTAAACTCATATGGTTTAAAACGCATGATTTCAGCACGATAAACATGATAATCAGAACCATAAGATGTTCGAATTTGTGCAACGCATTTTATGGACGACAGTTTTGTGAACCTAGGAGAGTACAAGGCTGGCTGTGCACAAAGGCTATTTCTAAAAAAAAAACAAAGGGTAAATTCCGACTTTGCTATGACAATTTGGCGCTTCTGAATCAGCGATTTGACAGTATGTTTTGTTATTAGTTTAAGTATTTGCTATTGACTGTTCAAATGCGGAGTTTTGCACAGCGCAGAGTAACGCATCGTGTGTGTGTGTGTGTGTGTGTGTGTGTGTGAGGGGAACAGGGTCACATCACAGGAGAGTGAACTGCCTGTCAGAAATCATAGCACGTCAGCTGTCTTAACCGCAGCTTGTGTACTGCATCATCACTGTGTCTGTCACGCGACTCTGTTGCCCTTTCGGGCTTGAACTGATGGTAAAACTAACGACATTATTAACCGTCTTGATATTTACTTTGAAAGCTGAAGCTGCGATTATGGTAAGGGGCGTTACATTTCCGACACGTGCTTGTGGTGTTCGGCCAATCACAATGCACTGGGTCAGCTGGCCAATCAGACCAGACTGCGCTTGTCAAAGGAGGGGGCTTTGTTGAAAACGACGTGTTTGAGAGAGGCGGGGCATAGAGGACCTACAATAATGTAGTATTTGAAAAATAATGTGTTTTTTAAACATTAAAGCATGTCAACATATTCTGTTACACCAAATACACAAAATAATGATCTTTAAAATAGCATCATATGACCCCTTTAATGTTTCCACAAACCTTCATTTATATCAAATATATCCTGGTCTTTTCCATTATCCACATCAATCTCTGTATTGCCTACAAAAAAATATATATAATTCAGAGCATATAAAATCATTAAAAACAGTTGTGATTTTTGAATACATCGTCATATGAGAGATAAGTGTTTGAGAGATAAGTGTCAAAGGTGCCCATTTACATCAACAAACTATTACAGTGCAAGCTTTGATATTGTATTACCTGCTATCATGAAATAACCACAAACTATTTCATCATAAAACTCATTCAGTCTTGAACAAGGTCATTGCTTTTTAATATAACAACAGCTGTGTTAGTTTTGCTCTAAAATATGATAATTTGCTTTTGTTTAGCACAATATTATCAACACATGAGCACAAAATTGTTGTTTCTATGACATCTGAATTCTACACTTACCAAACACAGGGCTGTGGCACATACAGAATCAGCAATGTATGAAGAGACGCCTTGAGACGACTTCACTCTGAGCTGTTCTCTTCAGAATATCAGTGCATTGTGTATTAACTGATTTATAGAACAAAAGAGCTTAGTCTGCAATGATAAGAGCCTGTACCTGATGGTATATGATTTATTACACTAATGGTCAATGTGATATTATTAGACATTATAAAATTACTTATTTATGATGATTTGGCTTAGAGGTAGAAGCTAGTTTAAAGGAACAGTTCACCCAAAATGAAAATCTGCTAAAGATTTAATCCCCCTCAAGCCATCCAAGATGTAAATGAGTTTGTTTCTTCATCAAAACAGATTTGGAGAAATTTAGCATTACATCACTTGCTCACCAATGGATCATCTGCAGTGAATCGGAATGAGAGTCCAAACAGCTGATAAAATTGAAAGAATATTTGTTTAGAACTTTTTTGGACTGTTGTCGCTTGTAATCTGTAAACGGTGCTTGAAAGCAATGATATAGATAGAGTACATGTTTTTAACCAGAAGTAATGGTTTGAAGTTAAAAATGTCTTGATGGATTTTTTTTCTTACAAACACACAACTTTTCGTACAAAAGTTTAATTGCTGTACTGCAGTTGTGTTGACACTTGTGTGGTTTTTTTTATCAGCTGTTTGAACTCTCATTCTGACGGCACCCATTCACTGCAGAGGATCCATTGGATTCAGCACCCATTCACTGCAGAGGACCTGTTCTGATAAAGAAAAAAACTCCTCTATTTTGGCCTGAGGGCGAGTACATTTTCAGCAAATTTTCATTTTTTGGGTGACCTATTTCTTTAATTGCAAACATTTTCTGCAGTCTGTGATGGGAAATGATCTTTTTTTCACAGTAGAATATTGTATTAAAACTTTTAATACACTTTTTTTTTTTTTTTTTTTTTACATTGGGATGCAGCATAAATATATTAACAGATCCTGGTGTCACTTGAATAATTCATTAATACATTTTCCCACAAAGTAAATCCCACAAACAATATCACAAAAGTAAATGTATGTTACATAAATCTTGTATCTGAAAAGAAAGTGCAAGAAGAGCTAAATTGTGCAAAATGTTTTTAGCAGATAAATCATTTGTTTAGTAATTTTAAAGCCATGATCAACCTGAGATGCATCAGATAGAATATGACAATACATTACCTCTTAAAATACCTCTTAATCACATAATCATTTTCTGTTGCTTTAAAAGCATTTCAATCAAAAAAATTCCAACCACATATTATATTTCAAATAACACTGGTAAATTCTTTAATTTCCTTCTTGTATCACATCTTCGATATACCATATCTTTTATTGATTTCTCAGTTGTTTATGTCCTTGTGATTCAGAATCTTCTTCCCAAGTAGTTTTATATGATGTTGACTGTGGTGTCATGTTTCTGAAAATGAGGCCTAAATATTTTCCTTATATGATGCTAGAATTGCACACTGAATGTTCATCTCATCAGTCTGGTTGAGATTCTGTGGATCAGAGAAATAAAGGATTACAGTTAAACATTGACGTGTGTGTCTGAATATACATTTATTATGATTTATTATAGTTCTTTGATTAGTGTTCATGTACATGACTTACAGTCATATCATCCAAGTAGTAGCAGTGGCGCAGGTTGAGGTGGCCAATGAAGTTGCGGCTGTAGTACTGTGGATCACCATGGGGCGTCTGCACACACACTGGACACACCTAGAGGGGCGCCAGAGGGCACACAAAAATCTTGAGCGTTTCTCTGCTTCTGATACTATAGCAGTCAGCAATACTGAGTCATTCAAAACTGAAGTGTGTAATTTGGGGATGTTAAAATATAATTAAGCCATTTATAGGTTGATTCCCCCTGAAAAGTATAGCACTGTGACTTTAAGAGCTATCAAAACATTGCAGTGTATGTATGAGCATCACAACCAGCCTGACTTTGCAACATTGGTTCAACCAATAGTGTGAGTTTGTGGTGGGGCAATCTGTTTATTTAGACCAATAATAGATGGGGAGTGTTGTGTAATCAAGTTTCAAAATTGTCGAAACAGTTTATAAATTCAGTTTGGTGACGCTAAAGGTATAAGAATTTCTCACTTCAGCTTTAAACATAATTTAAAGGAACTAATTAATGTTTCAAATGAATGTGCTGTAAGTTTAATTCAACACATGATTGGATATTAGAATTACTCCACATGATCTATACACATGAATGGTGACTGACCACACGTTTGCTGTCATTGGCATGATGTTCATTGCAGTGATCAAGTAGATCGAGTTCATCCAGTCCATCATCCTGGCAGTACGGACAGGCAAAAGTCCTCACAGTTAAACTGAAAATAAAAAAATCAGGAAAATAAGTACATGTCAAAGACTGTATTTTTGAGTGTTTTTAGCTAATCGTTTTGCGTTCCCAAAATAATCTGAAGAAACCTTTTTTCTTCACTATAATGAACCTTTTGTGCAATTGAATGTTAAAGCTTCTTCATGGAACCATAGATGCCAATAAAGTACCTTTATTTTTAATAATGATCTGATTGATGATCTTTCTAAAATGATAAGCCAAAATAAATAAATACATGTAATTCTGAAATAACCCAATTTTAGGATTGTGTAAATGGTGCATTATGTCATGGGAATGTACACTAAATTTTGGACAAAAGTTTGTGGACAAGAAAAATCAGATAAAAGTGTTGTAAGCACCAACTTAGAAAGAGATGTAGTAGAATCCTTTCATTTTCATTTTCACTTTATGCACAGTAAGAGTTTTCCCAAGCTGTTTTCCAAGTACAGTCATCTAGAAGAGGGGTTTCCAGGGTAACGCAACGGGGGTAAATTATAGAAAGAATAAAAAAACAGTGTAAGAAATGTAGAAATAAATAAATAATAAAAATAGGATTAAAATAAATAAATGAATAATTAAATATATAAATAATTAAAATACATATTAAAATAAATAATCAAAATTGATTATAAAATAAATAATAAACATGATTAAAATGAACATGTAGGCCTATATAGGTATTTGGATTGGATCTTTATATATGAAAATATATAGCTGATATATAGCTGCCTTTTAAATTTTATGGGAGTCCCTTACATAAGGATGATACTATTTGGCCATCCGTGGCATCTAAAAGATCGAAAACCCCTGTCACTGTGTGTCATAAGATTAAGATTTGTTGAATTACTGGAATTAGAATGGGTTTTCCACATGCTGCTCACAGGCAGTGTAGCGTGTTTGATGTCCTCACCCTTGAGGTTGATTCATCCCCATTAGATTGATCTCTGTTTGCCATGGCCTGTGAATGAAACAAAATATGAGTTATCCAATCCATAGTGTCAATAAAATAATTACTATCTTGATGGGACTTACCAGTCATCCAGCTCAGCCTGTAAATTTTCCTGGGACGGGGCGGGGTTTAGCAGCAGTGGACCTGGGGCAGGTGGGACTTGAATAAAACCACTCAGAGCAGCATTAATGGGTGCAGGCTGTGGGGCAGCAATTAAATTTGCAGGTTGAGCTCGTGTCCGTGGCGTAGGAACGGGCCGTGCAGAGGAAATTAAAGGGAAAGGGGCTTGATTTTGTGGGGCGGGTGGCAGGGCAGCCTGATTGGGTGGACTGGCTTGAGCGGCTTACAACCAGCCTGACTTTGCAACATTGGTTCAACCAATAGTGTGAGTTTGTGGTGGGCCAATCTGTTTATTTAGACCAATAATAGATGGGGAGTGTTGTGTAATCAAGTTTCAAAATTGTCGAAACAGTTTATAAATTCAGTTTGGTGACGCTAAAGGTATAAGAATTTCTCACTTCAGCTTTAAACATAATTTAAAGGAACTAATTAATGTTTCAAATGAATGTGCTGTAAGTTTAATTCAACACATGATTGGATATTAGAATTACTCCACATGATCTATACACATGAATGGTGACTGACCACACGTTTGCTGTCATTGGCATGATGTTCATTGCAGTGATCAAGTAGATCGAGTTCATCCAGTCCATCATCCTGGCAGTACGGACAGGCAAAAGTCCTCACAGTTAAACTGAAAATAAAAAAATCAGGAAAATAAGTACATGTCAAAGACTGTATTTTTGAGTGTTTTTAGCTAATCGTTTTGCGTTCCCAAAATAATCTGAAGAAACCTTTTTTCTTCACTATAATGAACCTTTTGTGCAATTGAATGTTAAAGCTTCTTCATGGAACCATAGATGCCAATAAAGTACCTTTATTTTTAATAATGATCTGATTGATGATCTTTCTAAAATGATAAGCCAAAATAAATAAATACATGTAATTCTGAAATAACCCAATTTTAGGATTGTGTAAATGGTGCATTATGTCATGGGAATGTACACTAAATTTTGGACAAAAGTTTGTGGACAAGAAAAATCAGATAAAAGTGTTGTAAGCACCAACTTAGAAAGAGATGTAGTAGAATCCTTTCATTTTCATTTTCACTTTATGCACAGTAAGAGTTTTCCCAAGCTGTTTTCCAAGTACAGTCATCTAGAAGAGGGGTTTCCAGGGTAACGCAACGGGGGTAAATTATAGAAAGAATAAAAAAACAGTGTAAGAAATGTAGAAATAAATAAATAATAAAAATAGGATTAAAATAAATAAATGAATAATTAAATATATAAATAATTAAAATACATATTAAAATAAATAATCAAAATTGATTATAAAATAAATAATAAACATGATTAAAATGAACATGTAGGCCTATATAGGTATTTGGATTGGATCTTTATATATGAAAATATATAGCTGATATATAGCTGCCTTTTAAATTTTATGGGAGTCCCTTACATAAGGATGATACTATTTGGCCATCCGTGGCATCTAAAAGATCGAAAACCCCTGTCACTGTGTGTCATAAGATTAAGATTTGTTGAATTACTGGAATTAGAATGGGTTTTCCACATGCTGCTCACAGGCAGTGTAGCGTGTTTGATGTCCTCACCCTTGAGGTTGATTCATCCCCATTAGATTGATCTCTGTTTGCCATGGCCTGTGAATGAAACAAAATATGAGTTATCCAATCCATAGTGTCAATAAAATAATTACTATCTTGATGGGACTTACCAGTCATCCAGCTCAGCCTGTAAATTTTCCTGGGACGGGGCGGGGTTTAGCAGCAGTGGACCTGGGGCAGGTGGGACTTGAATAAAACCACTCAGAGCAGCATTAATGGGTGCAGGCTGTGGGGCAGCAATTAAATTTGCAGGTTGAGCTCGTGTCCGTGGCGTAGGAACGGGCCGTGCAGAGGAAATTAAAGGGAAAGGGGCTTGATTTTGTGGGGCGGGTGGCAGGGCAGCCTGATTGGGTGGACTGGCTTGAGCGGCAATGTCTGCCTGTTGTGCCAGTGAATGTCGAAGTTGGCCGAGGAGACTGTTGGTTTAAAAGAAATGATAAATTCTTTAGCATTTGACAGAAAAAGGCACTAAATAATGAAATTTGCCTGATACTTACTTGTGTATGTTTGTGCCAACAGGTCTTCTTGAATTAAATGTTTGAATATCCCCTGGCAGGATTTGGCGCAGATGCCTCCTCCTACCAGGAGGCTGAAATAAAATTATTCATAAGCATGCAGTCCTTGACGACCTCCACTCGCAGAAAAACTGATATTTATTACATACTTTAGCAGGGTATTTACTTACTACCAATGGATTATTCGCAGAATCACGGTTGTTTACTGAGCTTCTGCAGTGTGGACAATGAAGCCTATATCGAAAAGATTGACTGAGGCATCGCTGGCAAATTCTGCAAGTACAGAGAGAGACAAAGTGTCTAGGTGAGACAGTAAAATAATCAACTACCAGCAACAAGAAGATAACAGATTGGCTGGCAAGGCTGGCAATGTTGGTCAACCCATCATGTGATGGAATTTCCCTTTAGAAATACTTTCGCTTTTTGCTTCCAGTAAATGCTCAGGTTATTTATCGGAAATGATATGTATTTGTGGACAAGGAGAGACTGTACATGTATATATAGTAGATGAAAACAAAACAATTAAAGCAAATAACATAAATGTCCACCATAAAAGCTGTTTCCAACTACAAAAGCACTTTTTAGAGAAAATTTGATTTATTGAATGAGTTTGATTTATAATCGCTGATCAAATATATTTTACAAATATACATTTTAGGCATTACTGTATAAAATTGTAAACTATACATTAGCATATGTTAAATTATGCAAATGCCTCACAGACCTACAAGTTTGATCCACAAATTTGTTTGTTTGTAAAGGGTCCACATGAAGTCACCAAAATCAACCATCTATGTCAAACATAAACCACACTTACACTTTTCCACAGCATGGAGATGGTTGAGAAGGATTCTGTATGTTTTCCCTGCATACAGGACACTCTTCCTCTGAAGCGGACATGTCCATACCGTCTGCTGTCTAGTCTGTCTACTGGCAGTCTAGTCTCTTCTGATATCTTCACTCTCAGGTTGCACAGCTTAAATACAGTCCAACTTCCTTATGATCATAAAGAGGGAGTATATTCTGTTTGCTTCAGCTGCTTTCTTTTCATGATGGTAAATATAGAACCGGTTTAACCTGAAAGGTACTAATTTTGTAAACAAATCTTGAGTGATGTGACTCGGGGACAGTGACAGAAATGACCTCTATACTTAAAGATTTTTATGCAATTCTAAGTCTATCTAAAATTAATGAACATTTTTGTGTGAAAGCAACAGACTGAACTGATTAGGAGAAGTGAGCTTTATTGGCATATCAATATACTTGGATTATACATGCAATTTTAATTGTGCCATTTAATAGACAGTTTTATCCTATGTGATATCAATCAATCCCTCGTCTTAGAATAATAGTCATTTTTAATATCAATATTCAATATTCTGTCAACTGACAGAACTGTAACTTTTGGTTTCATCTATATAATCGATTAAATATATAATCCATTAAATGTAATATCATCGTTTATATATGTTCACAGCATGCCTGTCTGTCAGTCTGTCTTTGTCCATCTTTAGTATCGAAAGTAAAAAGTTATTTACGGGCACCAGGGCTTTTATTATGATAGACGCAGAGCTTTTATGTCATTGCGGAAGTAAAGTCACATGACCGTCGCTAAGCTTCTTGGGCAAAATCGATCAGCAGGCAGCAGTAGATTTCAACATGTCTGCCGTCGGCTGTCAGTAAAAGAGGTGTTTGTTTTCAACTCAACAGCAGATCCTTTGAGCTCGGTGAAGAACAGTCGAGGCGGGCGCTCATGGCTCAGTGCGTGCAGTCAGTGCAGGAGTTCATCCAGGACTCGTTCGTGCCGATGGTGGCCGTCCTGTGCAGCGAGGATGCGGAGAGAGTGACCCGCAAAAACAACCTGAGTTTCCCCGAGCTGTTGCGGCCTTTCTGCCGCCTGACGTCCGAGGGTAAGAGGCCAGCTGAGACAGCCGCGGATCACTCATCCCAACTGATGATCACTAGACAAGACGGTTGTTAGACAGCTCCCTTACACATAAACACGGGCTGTGTCTCAAAACCTAGTGAGCTGTCTGCCTAGAGACATTGACCAAAACTGTCTAGGTGCAATTAAAACGTTCAGACGCGAAAAATATAGTCTAGGTAGACAGTTCAGTATAGGTTTTAAGAGACATTCCCAAAAATACTCTCTAGCAAGCCAGCTTACTAAGATTTGAAGCACACTTAAAATGATGTCTAGGTAGGCAGCTCATTAGGTTTTCAGACACGCCCAAAAATGCTGTTTAGACAGACCGCTCACTAGATTCTGAGTTACACGCCCAAAAGTGCTGTCTAAATAGGTAGTTTTGAGAGACATGCCCAAAAAAATCTGTCTAGGTTGACAGCTAACTAGGTCTTGAGAAACACCCCAAAATGCTGTTTCGATAAACACTAAACAGCTAACTGGATTTTTAGTCATGCAGTGCACCCTAAAATGATGTCTAAATAGGCAGCTCACTAAGTTTTGAGAGACATGCCCAAAAATGCTAGTCTAGGTTGGCAGTTCTTTAGATTTTTAGCGCCTATTCTTTGTCCAGTGAGGCCCCTGGGCAGATGTCTTTGTAGGACCCCCCAGCTACTGCTGACTGTAGTGGCAGACCTCTTTTTTTTCCCAAGCGACAAGGTCATGTTTTGGTTGCGAACATTAGTTTAAATATAGTTTTCTGGGCCCGTTTTGCACTGCATTCTGAGGGGCCCTAGTGGTTAGCACATGCCATGTGAACCAAGTGGCTCGGGGTTCTAGTGGTCAGCAAATGCTGTATGCGTTAAGGAACATGGGGCCTTGTGTGCAGAGGGGCCCGGGCTTTTGCTGTCTCTGCGATTTATGCACTAGGGCTACTTCCTCAATAAGTTTTGGAGCCACAGAGCTTTGTAGACCCTTGATAGTGTAAGGCCCTCTGGCCCGTTTCATAACCCAGCTCTGATCTTCAGTGAAATGATAGGAAGGGTTTCAACCTAGATTCATCTGAATTTGATCTCTCTGTTTGTGAAATCTGATCTGATTTCCGCTCACCTGACCATTTATTGACCAGAGCCTCAGACAGACACAGCACAGATCAGATGCCTCTATTGGTGAGGGTTAGATTACCACTGGACTGGCGGCGCTAGAGGCCTGTGCTGTTAATCACCAGCTTATATCTAGTAAAGGATATGGGATAATCCTAAAGAGGCAGGCAATCAGATCATCTGGCTCAATTTATGAAGACTGCCATTGTTTACAGTGACACAGTAGTCCGTGAACGGCCAAGATACACTTTCGATCAAAAGTTAGGGGGTTTATTAAAGGGCTTTTTTGTCTGTTTTTAAGATTTATTTATTTTTTTGCCTTTTATTATTCAGTCTTCAGTGTCACATGATCCTTCAGAAATCATTCTAACATGCTGATTTGGTGCCTAATTTACATTTCTTATTATGATCAATGTTGAAAACAGTTGCTTAATATATTTGTGGAAACTGCTTAAAGGGGTCATATGATGCGATTTCAATTTTTCCTTTCTCTTTGGAGTGTTACAAGCTGTTCGTGAATAAAGAAGATCTGTAAAGTTGCAAAGACTAAAGTCTCAAATCCAAAGAGATATTCTTTATAAAAGTTAAGTCAACCACGCCTACCTAAAACGCCTCATTCAAACACGCCCCCACATGTCTACGTCACGATGTGGGAAGATTTGCATAACGCCGCCCAAATGTTCACGCAAAGAAAGAAGGCGTAACTTTTATTCTCGCTGTAGTATTGTTGCTTAATGTTCTTTTTAGCAACGTCATATGACCCCTTTAATATATTTGTCTAAACCTTTCCACTTTTGTGCTGACACTTTTGATCAATTTATTGTGTCTGCTGAATAAAAGTATTAATTTATAAACTTTAAAAGCAAAATCGAACAGTAGTTTACATTAGACAACAGATGCCATTTTAATTTGTTCATTAAAAATGGCACTCACTCTTACAAGAAATATTCCTATTAGCCCAGGGTTTAGAAACAAAATAGGTGGAAAAAATTAGTTGGTTTTACAAAAAATGATTAACCAATTATAAGCATTTAAAATGCTAACCGTGTTCCATTTTACTATGGAACAACTGAAATGGATTTTGTTCACTGTTTCCTATTTAATTTGTTTTCAGTTTTTGTTCCTTCATTTGCTGTAAATCCTTTTCTGAGCTGCATTCACAGACGGAAATCCCTCTATACCCCATTTATCAACAACATTAGTCATTCAGGAATCATGCAATTGTGGGAAAACATGGCACATATTTTGTTGTAGCACAATAGACATAGCCTTCTCATATTATTTGTTGCAGTGTGTTATGGATTCGTAGAAATCCTGAAAACACAGTTAAGTTGACACAAATGAAGAGAGTGCACTCTTTATGTGTGTGTGTGTGTGTTTGTCCCTCAGTGATGTGATTGGATTTATTCAGGAATGCCTTGGCAGCAGAGGAGCAAAGTCTCATCTTTATTATTCATGTTGTGCTTATCATGTGAATTGTGGAGTGAAAACACACAGGTGCATTATGGGAAAGTGTTTGGTAGAGGGGTGGCAACATGTTTGAGCTGGGTGTTCCTGCCATGCATATTGCAAGGGAAGGTTGGGTGAGGAGGTTTCAGATGGGGTCCAGAGGTGGTCAGGAAACCCAGCTGTGTTCGGCTTTTCCTCAGCCTTGACAGATTTTCAAGTTGGAAGTCATAACAGATTGTAAAAGATAGAATTAATAAATCCTAAATACTCTGTTGGAGGGCTGTCCACAAGAGAACGAATTGCAAATAATGAATTAAAAGAATTTGTATTGTGCTGATCTCATTAAATATCATTTAAAAAAGAATGAGCAATATTAATAATCAAAACATTGTATTATATCTCAATTATAAAATCCCAAAGATGAAACATTTTAATAATGATTTATTAAAATAACACAATTTCTGTCAATGTCCATAAGAATTAACAAGTGGCAGAAATGGGGGAAAAAACTAATTATTTTCCTTGTGATTGTGATTCCTGTTCAAAAGTTTGGGGACAGTACGATTCTTTTGGAAATAATTTGATACTTTTATTCAGCAAGGATGAATTAAATTAATAAAAAGTGACTAAATATATTTATAATGCCACATAATGCTTTTCTTTTGAACTTTATATTCATCAAAGAAAATGTAGAGTGGTTTCTGCAGCACAGCTTTTTTCAACATTGATAATAATAATAAACAAAAAAAAAAACGGATATAAAAACTGTTATGATGATTTCTGAAGGATCATGTGACACTGAAGACTGGATTAATGATGCTGAAAATTCAGCTTTGCCATTACAGGAATACATTACATTTTACAATATATTAATAGAAAACTTTTACTTGAAATTGGAATAATATTTCAAAATATTTATATTTTTACTGAGTTTTTTGATCAAATAAATGCAGCCTTGATGAGCATAAGAGACTTCTTTCAAAAACATTTTACAAAATCTTGCAGACCTCAAACTTTTGCTCAGTGCCTTTGTTTAAAGAAATTATATTAATACACATTTTTTGATAAAGGACTTGTGGTCCAGGTGGAGCCAGCCTTGGGTTCTGGACCCTTTAAGTCGCTTAGGAAAAAAGAAGAATTAGCATCACTATTACGAATTTGACACCAGCCAGTTCAACCTGCTAATTTTCCTCTTCTTTTTTTGGCCGTACTGTAGGTCACCTGCGTGATCCCAATAACCAGGTGGTTGTGGTGAAGGGCCTCCGGATCAGCGTGACTGGGATCAACACACGGCCTCCACAGAGCCCAGAGCTGCACAGACTCCTCAGCCAGGCGGTTTCTGTCTGCCAGCCACCTGAAGGGTCGCCCGCCAACGTCATCGCGGCTGGAGACTACGACCTCAACATCAGCGGTAAGTGCTTGCAGAGAGTTTTCTGCTCACTTCAACTTCATATGGGGAAATCCGTAGAGGACCTGATTATATTACTGCCACATTTTCAAAGTAGGAAAGTGGAAATGGCCTGAAGTGAACAGAAACAGGAACTGAGAGATTGTTTGCTAATGCAGCATATGTTTATGTAGCCCTTGCTACTGTTAGTGAACATTATCCAGTAGCCTGCATGTTTTGTCTATGGATTTACATGTAGGTTACCAATTAATTGGGTGGGCAATATAAGCAATCACAATATTCTTCATTCTGGTTTATAGCAATATATATAACACAATATACACATTTTTCATAGAACATGAAGTACTGAAAAATAATCGTCCTAATTTCCAAAGTAATGGCAGACCTTTAGAAAATGTGATTGGATTTTATACTATTTATACAAATTTTGTAGTATTTAAAGTAATAAATACTGCAGTTAAACACAACTACTATGCTGTTTTATCTTTTTTTTCATGCAAAATACTGTTTTGTCTGTGTTAAAAAAAACATGATAATAATTATAGATTCTGCAGGGGGTATGTAAACATCTTCGAAAAGGAAAATTACAAAAAAGTGTTGTGCAGCTTCTTCTGGACAGAAAAATGGTTTGATCTCTCTAAAAAAGATAAAAATAATAATCATAGATTCTGCAGGGGGTATGTGAACATTTTAGAAAAGGAATATGAAAATTTACAAAAATGTTATGATCTCTCTCTCTAAAAAAAAAAAAAGATAATTATAGGTTCTGCAGGGGTTATGTAAACATTTTAGAAAATTAATATAAAAATGATGACTACACTCGTAATTAGGCATGGGCCGATTACCGGTTTCAAGGTATACCGCGATTTGAACATTTCACGGTTTCAAAACCGCTAATATTTCCCGTTATACCGTTTCAAGGTATGCGCTGTTTTTCATGTCTCCTCAAAGACTGAAAGTGTAGGAATCCCTTCAGGTTGAGTGCAGTGTAGGGAGTAGCACGGCCCCTCCCCCTCCTGTTGGTGCAAGCGAGCGGTCAGTCACGTGTGTGTAGGATGGCCGAACTTAAGGAGCTTACCCTGGAACTTACGCGATCGGCTGTTTTTTGTCTTATTGCAAGCAACTCGTCTCTCTTCTGCACTTGCACAAACTGCGTTGCAATGCAATCATTTTCCAAAATGTAATTTATGTGAAAATATGAAGTCTGTAAACGCC